CAAGCGGATCCGCTAAGCGTGACGGCTGATTCTGAAAATCTCTGCTACTAGAAAATCGGAAGTTTTTTGAGGGTACCGGTAACGTTAAAGATAAGGACTGCTTTGCTCTGGTCTACGACTCTACGTGTCCATATATTTCACATTTCTCTCTTGTCATTTAAACTTGTACGTATTGTGAAAAAATATCATATCAGAGTCAAGATAGAACTTTGGGAATAATGATGACTTTAGCTTGGAGACGATTTCCGGTCTCCTCACCGCCACAGAGTGTTTGACAGTTACGGCTTCCTGCACCATCAAGTCTATGCTTTTGAAAACAAAATAACTAACTAACCCCATACCCGACATGGAATGGTAACCGGAAGAGAGGCCGTGGTTCGCCATATGGTTACGCCTTCTTATCGGATTTCCTCTCCCTCGGGATAAATATGTAAATCTTATTCTATTCTTCTTCCATTGAAAGGTTATTCACACAGTGTCGATGTGTTACAGATCTAAGCATACTCAGTTACTACTCGTAACCGTGGAGATCGAAAGATAATAAGTATAGAAAGTGAGTGTTTGTATTCATTAAAACATCAAACAAAGGTAAAAGTTTGTTAAGTAAGTAAAATTTTCAGGCATTCATTTAACAGGACTAATCCCAATGTCAAAACCTCACTGATTTAAACCCTTGCAATTGCTGTTGTATACGATGACTATTTCATAAGACGACTCAACTAAAGTCATTTTCTTTTCGGCAGACAAAGCCACATCATCCAAAATATTTATTATTTAAGACATTAATGATGCAAGCAATAATTGCTATCAGATTCAGTAATCAGATTCCAAAATGAATAAAATATTTACATCTGTCAAGCATAACTTGAATTGACCATGAAAAAGTGAATAAAACGACTGATATTTAATGTGAAGGCTTGGAATTTAGAATAATATTGAAATATTTTTTGGAACTGTGAATAAAAAAGTCATAAATATTAGGACTAATTCTGTGAGGCACTTAAACGCAATGTTAGTTATACTGAAGCCTTATATTATTATTGTATCACGAGCAAAAGTAATTGCTGACAAAATGATACGTCCGAAAATGCAACAAAAACTAATTTTTTCCTGTCCGAAGTTATCAGCAAAAAAGGAAGAATATGATTTATGCAGAAGCACAATAAATACGATAAAAGATACCAACAAATTTTCAATTAGGGGCATTTGTTCCATCTTTCTCCATTTTTAATCTTATTAAATGCTAAGTAAAAATAAATTCAATTTAATTTACCAAGTTGTACTGCATTACAAATCCTGTTATATCTCAGGTGATACATTACACATTATTAATGTTAAACTCTTGATCCAGCTATATTGAAACTTCAGAAGCACAAATAAATGTGAGGTGATAAATATTGCAAGATATTTTTAGCAAAATATCTTTATTTATTTTATTAATGTATTAAATTTTTTGGAATCAAAAAATATTTCCTGTCCACTGAAAAGCCCTACAGACAGAACCTGTGTTTAATTTTTGTTCATTATATAAAATAATAGTTGGAGATTCCATCAGAGCAAACGGGATGAAAATTTACAATTTGTACTCACAACCGCAGAGTTGAGTAAATAGATATAGATGAGCAATTATTATTCAACACATTACACCAATCGAGTTTACTTTCACTTTTTCTTTTCCAGTGAAGTAAGTCGCTTTTTAATCGAATCGATTTCCTCTTGTTGTTTTTCAAATCTTTTGAACAAAACTTCGATCAGTTTATTAGTGCAAATAATTGATTCATTGACCAGGTGGTATTTACAAACGAATTCGCGTAGAAAAACTGTTGAGAATTTATCCAATTTTAGGGCAGAAAAAAGTGTGACAAAGTGTTTTTTTCGTTCATCCAAGTCAAATTCAACCCAGCGTTTGACAGCTTCCCATACGACCTCGGAACTTCTGTAATTTTTTTGTGTTTTTAAATATTTTTCCATACTGGGTTCATCGATGTCGCAAAAATCATCCGACTTTGAAACTTCTCGGAAGTTTTGGATCACGTACTCATCTATCTTTGCTTCTGCGTTTCTACATTGACATTTTTCAGAAATATTCTTCATATAAATGCAGTTATCGGTATTCAAAAGCCAATAGTCTACAAAAAAGCCACGAAATCTACTGAAAAAGCTTTGGTCTTTATTTCCCTTTCCAAATTTTTTTAAACTGTGAAGAAATAGTTTATCAGAATCCTGGGGATTCTCAAACAGTTGCGGGAAGACTTCAATATGGCATTCCGGGTGATTCTTCAACCAGGATACCAAACACGAGAAGTGGGATTTCGAGCATTCTTCGTCAATATTTTCAGCCAATTTCAGTAAATCATCTTTTTCTACTTCAATAAAAGCAGGAGATTTAAAAACACCTTTGTGCTGGCGAATTATATACTCATCAATCCAACTTTCTAAACTTCGGCGTTGGAAACTTTTGGATATTTTTTTGAGAAACAAACAATTTTCTAAATTTACGTGTCTAGAAAAAACAGTTCCTAAGCTGTCCATAAACGTATTGCTCACGAAAGATCTGCATTCATGGCATGTTTCTACATGCTTATATTTCCAAATGTGTTCTTGGAATCCAGCGACATCGAAAATATTGACTGGGAAGTTTTTAATAATGTGGCAAGTCGATTCCAGTGATGACGTTGTCTGCTTGTCCATCCAATGAGTTGCAAAATTCCATAAATCAATCGCTGAAACGCATTCGATCCCTCCTAATTTCATTATTTCGATAACATCTACAATTGGTAGATTTTCATTGTATTTCATCGGTTCAGTCATGTTCTTTATTGTATGTTTATGACATTCTCTCCGTACGTCGTTCAGATTGTATTTACTTGCTAAAATATTTACCACAATGCAGTCCTGGCTCAAATTACGTAGAAGATACTTAGTACATTCATTTTTACCCTTTTCCAGAAGCCACAGGTCACAAAGTTTAAAAATCCCCTCTATATTGCTCATGTCAAATTTAAAGTCTTCACCGTACATAAATCCTACGCATTGCTGGACATCATCAAACTCAAATCCCTTGACCACACAAATATTTGTCTTTTTCTCAATCATATCTGTCGCAAACATTCTACGAAAATAATCCGACCAAGAACTCAAGACCAATCGATGAACACGAACCGTTCTGCTTCCCACTTGCAAAGCAAAATCGCACAATTCATCGTTTTGCCTTATCCTATTCATGGCTTGTAAAGTGTTGGAAGCATTGCTTGCCATCTTTGACGGGAAGTTTATAATTTCGAGTTTTGCACGTAGATTAGATTGAATACCAATTGAACAAGCGTAGATATTTGTATTATCTGAATATATAAATATATATTGAATACTCATTCAAAAGTATTTTGAAAATATACTATTGAGCATTTGATAGATGTAAATAAATATAATGCCCTCTGTTCGTTAACAATGGTGGATATTTTTGTTAATGGTAAAATTCCCAGTCTTCGAAAAACAAAATGTCTGCAATTACCCTAACAAATAATTAGATTTCTCCTAACTGAGGTAATAAAAATAATTACATTTTCTCTTAAAAAAGCTACGTCCAACCTTAAGCGGTATGACGAGGCCTACAACTCGCCCTTTTTTTAAAATAGACCATGCCAGATTTTTAGTAGGGCCAATTTCGAAAAGACAATGCCTTTTTGAAGGAGGCATAGATAGTTCCAAATATGAGCATAGCATAGCATACCTTGATACCGTGAACCATATTATCCAATCCTATTTTTTTTCTTGGGGTTTTACTTTTTATTTTATATTAGTTAGAGCATTTATAAACAAAATATCCCTCTTCTGGAAAGAAGGCAGCCTATTAAAAGGGGGAATAGCCCTTTGAGAACTGCTAATGGACTGTTTAGGTGTAGTTCAATAAGCATAACCTTTTGTGGGGAAGAATACCCAACAGTAGCTTTTTACTGTGGACATAAAGTACCTATGTAGAAATAAAAGAAAGGTCCATATATATACATAACTGGGTAAATTACCATTGCTGAAAGTTTGAATGAAAACGGTTCGATATTAAATCCAGAGTCGGGCATGTATCATTTACTTTTAAATTTTGCTACTGATGTAATGTATGCAACTGACTGCTCATTGGCCTATCTGTGCTGTACTACACAATAAAGTTATAAGGCGTAACTGCCTACATACATACTACTTGCGGATGCAATTCAAATATCACTTTGTCGTGTTTCCTATAACGTTTCCCACCTACAGCAGTTCCTCAAACTACGGCAGTGGAAGTATATTTACTGGCGTACGTAACACCAGCTCTCGGTGATAAGGCGACGCGTACGTGCAAATACATTCCCTGTGGTTTGCTGGTTTTCGACGCGAGTCGCAGCGCTCCAAGCCACTGGGTTTAACTAATATGTAACTTCATTTGGAGATTAAAACTGTGTACACAACGCCAAAGAAAGTCAAACCTGTACTGACAACCAATCTTGTGTCAATAAACGTCACAAACGAAGTCAATAAAGCGTAGTATGTCGGAATATTGATGTACATTTAATATTTCTTCAGGACTGTATATACGGTATGCTTATTTGCTGTATATATAACATACTGTATATATAACAATGAGTCTTACTTCTCGGATTGTACAAGTATGTGCTTTTAAGAAATCAGGGATAGGTAGCACCTGCATTAAAGTCGTTTTAGGTGCGTATTCAGGGATCATGTTGTGTACCAAACGTTTTAAAAATATTTCAAATTTTGCCCCAGGTTACAGATAAAATGATTTGCTTTGTCCCAACTACGGATTTGATTTTAAAATTGGTCTTGGTTTACTTATGCAATTGTATCAATCATCTGGTTTTAACCTATTGTGGTGGTTTGATATATCTCTCTGAAAATTTTACAACCTTGTAGTGCAAGAGTGGCAGCAGACTTCAAGGACAAATCATGTAATTTCATGTCTCCTAGTTCACACCAGAACCCATGTAATAATAACTCATTCAGTATTCACAAGCCTGTGTTTCATTACAAGTCTGTACACCCGCTCTCTAAATAATTGAATAAACTCATTCGATTGAATTGTTTGTTCATCTTAAACACAAGAGTAAAGAAATGTAAAATTTGAAAGAATCATTTAGTATGTGTCAGAAAAATTATTGTTATGTTTCAGGTCCTGATGTAGAACAGAACATATGCATCCAATTCTCTTCTTTGCAATATACCATCACCATAAGTATTTGTAACAATATTGTCATCGTAACATTGCCATGTTCTCGAAACATTGTCCCGCAAGACATCGCTTATATAGTGACCTGTAATGAATAAAATATTTAATTCCATTTCCGACATGCAATAATCAAGCAATGGACGCTATGAAATAGATGACCAGAATGTATGTGTCACTCTAAGTAATAGGCAAGCGTTTCATTCAAAAATCTGTTAAGATTCAGGTCAGCAACATATATTTTTGAATTTTAGGAGCAAATGGAGAAAAGAGTATGGAATGTACGAAATAGATTACTGAAATGTCACTATAACAAGCCGGGCACCCCGTATGGATCTCCGCCTATGCTTGAGGCGCACGTCATCTCATGGTTACTAACAGGTATAAGAACTATCAGTACATTTTGAGCGCTGTGCGCCTCGTCGGTATTCTTGCGCAACGATATGATGCGGATAATAATTAAAACAGGTGTTCTCAACCCTTTATGACTCGTGGCCCCCTTTCGGAGGCTTTTAGCACTCATGGCCTCCACTTTAATATTCCAGAGGTATTAATAGGGTTATTTTCATTGCTAGATTCCAAATCCCATTATGTTAAAACAATTTGCACAAAAGAGAGCGAAAACACCCTGCGAAATAACCTTGTTGAGCAGCAAACTAGGAAAAACTGCGAGATTTCTTTTAAAGTGAAAAGTAAATTCAGATTTCAGCCCATCCTTGTGGCCCCCTCCAACTCCTCTGTGGCCCCCTTAGGGGGCCGAGGGCCCCCGGTTGAGAACCGCTGAATTAAAGCATGTTTACTTGAATTCCTAGATTCCGCCGTTCATGAATTATCGACACGAAAGACGGTTTGTTCGAGAGCGTATTTTCGTCCGCGGATTGTAGCGTTCTCGGAATTTTAATATTCCAATTAGTTTAACTAGAAAATGATGAAAAATTATAAGAAAACTGGGCAAATTTTAGGCATCGGTGCGTATTTTTGTGGCTACCATGGAAACGAAACATCAATCCTGAATTTGGGTGAAACGCACAATAAGCTGGACAAACAGAACGACCGATAATAAGGGTCTCCTAGAGCGGAGATTCAATAATGAATAGTGCATTAGAAAACCCAAATAGACAATTAAAGAGAACTCGACGTAAATCAAAAAAACACATTTTCAGCCTTCGCTTTATTGAATTTATACACTGTGGTACCATTTTTTCTAATCTTGAAAATCATGTTTTTCTGTAATCCAGACATCAGATTACATGCTTATTCTGCATAATCTTACCTAAGGACAATATGTAAAGGAGAGGCGGAGGTCCGTCCCTCAAATGGCGACTATTAGTTATATTTATTTCTTTCTTACCTGATGTTGGGGTTTCTCCCAAATGATTCACAATGGAAGTTAATTCATATAATGCCGTAACACTCTCAGGAAGCAGCAAGTTATTGTTGGCGTCAGTTGGACTGTTAAATATATTAAATAACATGTACAATATTTCTGAATCAGAAATTATTTAAAACTTTTACCCTACAATGGTTATAGAACAAACTCTATTTTGCCATTTCTAAATGACTGAGACACTTATTTTTTGAAATTTGTGGTTAATTGATGAAGCAGCTAATCTTCAGGCAATTTAATTAAGCTTTGTTTTTGCAATAATATGATTAGAATGTTTTTTTTTTAGTTTTATCATTCCGATTAATTAATTAATTGATTGATTATTTAAAGGATCAACTCCATCTTGCCATTTCTAAATGATTGAAAATTTTTTTATTTGGAATTTGGTAGTTGATGACGCAACGTCCATATCAATGATAAATCAAGCACAACCGGTGAATAGCAAAACGATTTAATTTGCCGACGTTTCGAATTTCTATTCAGAAAAACCTCCATCAGCGCATGATAGGGAAAGCAACTGGTGGCAATAATGTGCTATTGACGCAACCTCCAGCTAATCTTCAGGCAATTTTAGGCTTTGTTTTTGCATTAATATCAGAAATTAGAATAACATGTAGAAGCATTTTCAAGTTAAGAATAAGATGTTGTACACGCATATACAGTACATGTATATCCACATGTATTTAAAACGGTGACCGTACATTTGAACCCATTTACATTTGAACCCATGCGTATATCCACGGGTTCAATCTATATGCGGGTGCTAAAACCCATGGGTTAGGGTTAGTATGGGTTTAACTATCCGTGAAACAAAAAAAATTCCATAGGTGCAATAGCATACAGGTGCAATTGTCATGGGTTCAAATGTACGTGGGTTCAAATGTAATGGAACCATTTAAAACACAATGGAAAAATTGACAAAGTGTATTGTGGACCTATATACTATTAAAAAATAACCTACTTCAACTGATATTTTGTTAGAGAGAGATTTCTGCTAATTCCAATATTCTGATGAATCTTTCTCACTCTACCGGTCCTATCAACATTATAACGCATCAGGTAAACAGTCAGGATTCTTGAAAAAAATGAATTTAAAATCAGACAAACTAAATACATTATACTCAATTAAATTTTTGGATTGGAGTTTTTTTAGAATCGACTTTGTACTGCTCCAACACCAATGGAAAGAATTGAAACTTTATTCTTTCAAAGCTTGTATTTCACTCAGTGCTTTCAACTAAGCATCTTATTTTAAGCTTGACCTGATTGATTAGTGACAGCTAGAAGAGATTTAATGATTTTATTCAGATTTTTTCATAAATATTTATCTTGGTATGGAAGAAATGACACAAGATGGCTTAGCAAATCGAAAAAACTATTTTAAAGTAACAGCTATTAATCAAATCATTAATTACCCCGAGATTCATTTAAAAAAAAAGTCGAACATAAAAAAGTTAATAAAAATCAAAACGATCTTCAGAAATTGAACAAAAAATGACTGAGTTCAAGTAAAATATAAACCAAACAAGAACAGGCACCAGTACCTAGGTAATTCCACAATACGAATAGTCTTGATTGATCTCCCATTGCTACAACTTCTGCAAGAATTTTCAATTTCCTCTTCCTTTCTTATGGACCGGGACAATAGCTGTTGTATGCTTCGAATTTCTAGACTATAATTATAAAATGTAAAAATTTTAGAACAGAACATAAAAATTCTTATAGTTATTAAATTAGGATATACAGGTTCATATTCTCAGGATGGAGTTTTTTCTAATTTATCATAACAGTAAAAAGCATATCTTATTTTTTACACAAATTATATATATGACTTGCACTCCGAACAAGAGCTGTACAAGCAGACATGGCTGGTTAAGGAAGTACTATGGTTCGAAAAGAAAGTAATATTCCAGGTTCGAAGCATGGCCTACATCAGGGGTGTGCAACCTGGAACAAGGAAAAAATTGTGCGCCCGCAGAAGAGTGACAATTTTAAATGGTGTGCGGTCCGCTAAATAAGTTTTTAATTTGGTTCAATCTATATGTGCTAGTAATTCCAGTCCCTTCGCATTGCAAAGCCAATTTCTTATCTATGACATCACCTCACAAAGGCCAGTCTACACCTTGTGGCATGTGGGATTACTCAGAATTTATCAACAAAATCATTCTCTCCATCCCAGGTTATATAATAAATTGAGTTGGATTCATCATAATAGTATTTCCATTCCAACTTTTCCATGTACATATTTTGGCCCTGGTCAAGATCATAACAACGAGTCTTTCGGAATGATATTTTCTATTTGACATAACCCAACCTAAACCATTTATTGCTTTTTGAAGACAGGTTCAGAATAAGAAAGCAGAACAATATGTTCACAGCACATCACATTATTCCTATTTTAAGAGTAACATTGGACCGTACTTGAGAGAAGTCTGCAACAGTATTTGACTTCTGTATGCGCAGAGAAAGTAGCTTACTATGTGGACCACCCAGTTGGTGAGAAAATCATTCGTAAGTGTAATTCTATGACGTAGTTGAAAATGAAAACCATAATTAGATTACAGAGAGAGAAAAGTAAAATATGGCGGACATTGAGAATAAAAATAATACAGTGGAAACCAAAGTATTTTTGCTTTAACATTAAATAAATAACTGAATGATTTTAGTAGAGGATCACCATATTCATTTGAAAACTGCTGGTTTTTACAGTTCATTTTCATTCATTACCCTTTTACAATAGGCAATCTTTCTGTGAGAAAGTCACTCTCATTTTGTGATATTTTGTAAAGCAATTCCCAATTAAGTCACTAAAAACACTGATAATACTCCCGACTCAATATAGGTTCATAAATTCAGATATTGGACATTTGAATTGATTTACTCTAATTTTGAATCAGATACACTGTTTGCGGGTTAGTATTCATTTTCAATAAGGTATCCAACACAATTTTGGGTGTGCAAAAGAATCAATTATTCTGTTAGTGTGTGTGTATGTGTGAGACATCTACCATAAATATGCTCAAGAATAAGTCTGAGTGCGCCAATGATACCCATGCCAAAAACTTGAACACAAAAATATGAAACACAAACCAACGAAAACCATTTACCATATAATGCAGTTTTCACCAAATATACTCCAATCTTAATACCTGGAGATGATATCAACAGGGATATCATACCAATCTTCAATAATAGCAAATGTAAAACTACACCTGAATACAGAGAATAGAGAATCAATACAGAATTAAATTATTATTCCAAATTCAAGTACCTCTAGCCAATGCAAATGTTTAGGTATGTAGTGTACACTTTGCTCTGAAATAAGGCTATGTCCTAGGCTTACTATGTTGTTAGAATACTACAATTTTAGAACAGCGATTCTCATATTTTTTAGGCCGCGTCCCCTTTCGCCTTCTTTTTAGAATATGTCAAGTCTAGCGACCTACTTCAATAATAACTAGCTAACAATAAGATACATATAATATAACAGATAATTAGGTAAAGGTATGTTTTATTCAAAAACATGTTGAAAATGAATGTAAATATCCAAAATAAAGAAATGTCAATATCCAAAATAGGCATGCCGGATCAAATCTGACAAATATTTTTTTAATTTTTATTCGCTTCACGCCCTCTCAAAAGTTGTCTACACCCTCTTTTGTGAGGCGAGCCCTAAAAACCACTGATTTAGAATCACTCATGATATGCCTAATGAGATAGTGGACAAAGAGTTGTTAACCAGAATCTATGCAGCCAACATAGGTCCGACGCATGATTACATAAATTATCATACATGGGAAACATCAATATTTAATGCACAGAATGTCAAATACCCAGGCGTTTTTGGGAATAAAGACAAGCTGAGGCAAATTTTTATATAGCGCAGAAAATTTTATGATTTCGTAGGGTATATGAGAAATCAGGACATAATATTATATACATCAGAATGTATGTAGAGAAAGTGCCTAAAACACAGACATGTTAAAGAAATATGTGCCACAAATCCAGCCGATCCTTTATTTATATCCAATTTTAATTGAAGCCACCACGAAACCAAACACTATTCATATTGAATCCAAGAATGTGTAATTTCTGGTTTTGTATGGACAGAATGCCCTGAAGGCAGATGATATCATGTCCCAAACACTTCAGTCTTGGTTTCAAAAGATCATAATAAAATACCTTGTGCACTTGTAGGAATGTTGGACTTTGAAGCCGAAATTTGCTGTGATTGGGCATTCCTGATGTAACACAGAGCCCAAGTTTTGCTCTGTAAGATAAATGTTTAACTCGTGATGACTTATCGGAGTTTATTATAAACTGTGATAAACATAATTTATTTTTTCTGGTAACAAATGCAATGATAAATTGCAACTAGTCTACCAGTAAAAAATTCTGATATGCACAGTGTACACAATCATATTTAAATATACAGGGTGTCCATAAAGTCCCTTTAAAATTTCAATTTTGGTATGATGTCAGTTCTCAATATATCTCAACCAGGTTTGCTGTTTTTTGTAATTGTTTAAGTATTTTTATTTCATTTGATACATCTGTGAGTGCCAAAACAATTCACTTTGCAATTTTAAGACTTCATGGGACACCCTATATTTAATAATGTCCACTGTAAGTCCCATAACAAAGTTTAGTATCTATTTTTGACAATAAACAAAAAAAATTAAAAAAAACTAGGATGAATTGAGAAGTTTGGGCAGTTTAATTAATAATCAATATGTGGCCACACTATTACAGATTTTAGAAAAATTATTAAAAATCATATAATTCAATTTATAGATTTTGTTCTCGAAGTAACACTAGTGCGATGACAAATGGTCAAAGTATACATAATTGAAATCATAAGAAATGTATAAATATGGTAATTCACAAACCTTTTAATAATGCATCATTGATTTCCTGTTTGAGTAATGTAAGAGCAACTCGAACAAATTCATGTGCATCCTGTAAGTTTGAGAAATACAAACCGATACATAATAAAACGAAATCATCTCGATAATATAGTTTTGCAAAAATTATAGATAATACCCAAATAAATTTGTTTCACTGTGACAAGCGACCTCCGTTCCATTTTTCTAGTATCTCCAGTCCACTACATTGATTCAAACCAGGGGTCGGCAACCTACAGCCCGCAGCGCTTCGCTGAATTATAGTACCAAAACAGCTGTTTTGACTTTGTATTCTTTATGTAACAGAATTTATTGTTAGACATGTGTAGACTAAATTGATATAACCTAGCAAGTATATAATTCACACTCACAGTTACTCGTTTAATGAGCCTATAATTTAATTATACATAGACAAATGGCAAAAAACAAAAAAAAGTTGAAAAAAAGTTGCTGAGTGCAAATGAGTTAATGGCGCAGAAAATATTCAAATGGTCAATCTTCGCGCGCTGCCTAAAATTTAACTTCTGGCCTGTGTGAAAAAATGTGATTCATCGGCCATTTGTTCAGTTTTTAACTTTTCAAAAATATGTGCGCCCCGCCAACAATTTTGGCCTGTGAGTGACGAAAGGTTGCCGACCCCTAGTTTAACCCAACAGCTAAAAATGTTTGGATGTGTCGTAAAAGAGAAAAACGGCTTGAAACTACTATTAAGCAATAAGATGCTGAGGACCATTTGCATCATCAGTAACAAATTGTCGGCGCAACATAACAAACAAGCGCCAATACAAGGTGTCACTGTAAAAGCAAACAGCCACAAGTGCTTATATCCAAACCTAGCTTTATTTTAATGAGACTCCATATTATTAGCAACTCATTCTTTGGGTACCCTTTACTCAATAAAAGACCCACTTCAAGAAGTAATATTGAATAATTTAACCCGATTCTATTTCCCATGAAATACTTTTTAGTTTGACACATACAAGTTCCTACGCTACAAGTATCCCTTAGAATCAGAGCAAATTTCTGTAACCTGGCTTAGACCATAATTTTAACTATAGTGTACATATATGGTAACCAATTTAATCAGGAATTCACAAGTTGCTATAAACTACCGGTATGCTGGACTGAACTTGAAGATGAGAGAAGCAGTTAGTGAACCACCATACATTGGAGAGGAGTTTTGCAGTATAATTATCCCCTACAGCAGTGGTTTACAACCACATGGGCCACAGAGAGGCCACGAGTGCTATAAAAGCCCCCAAAAACGGGCCACGAGCTATAAAAAGTTCGGAACAACTGCCATACAGGGTTCAAGCCTAAGAAGGCACCCAGGGTCTACTGAGATGTGATGGCGAGGGTGTTATTAATTCTCATCTCATTCTCAATGCACCATCCACCAAGCCATTTAAAGTTAAGACTAAACAAGCTTCACATTGCAACTTTTACAAACTATTTAACACTTACATGTTGTTCACTGCCATTAAATTGTGGAGCAAATTTGGAAACAGCATTTTTAATGTTTCCAAGCAATTGTCTCTTTTCAATAACAGATGAGTATCTTTTACTTTGCAATTGTACAAGACACCTACAAACAAGAAAAAAAGTTTAAAAAATAAAAACTATATTTCTAATAAATACCCAAATATTCATAAGTCCAGAATAACAAGAATTATTGATTATATAGTGACAATGCACCAATTACTTGAGACCTTACATTTAAGGCTTGCCTAATTCAAGCAGACAATACGACCCATTTTTGGCATTTAAGGGAATCAATCGAACTACCATAATTCTACCTAAACATATTAGATATCATATAGAAGAAAGTTCTCAACTTCTTTAAAAATATATGCAAACTACTCGCTGAATAACCAAACTACTAACTCATTAAGTCATAAAATGGTGAAATTTAGTTAACCACACCAAATCGAAACAAGGCACGTACAAAAACATCCATTCCAAAAGCCAAGGTAATTGGATAAGAAAACATATCAAAATTGTTAGATATGCCATGATTCCAAATGAAAGTGCCAAATTAAAAGACATTTATCATGATATAAGGAAAATTATGATTTGAAAAACGCATAAATATTATAAACTAATGTTTCAAATCCGATAGATGAAACATTTCTGATGTATACCAAACTCTTCATATTAAACCACATTTGAATGTAGTTGAACACGCCTGAGGCAAAATGAAACAATATTATAAACTGTGGTGGAAACTGGAACAATAAAGATATTATTTTCTCAGTGTGATAGGTCTTTCCTTTTCATTAGAATTTACTCGAAATAAGATCATGAGCTCTCACATGAAAAAATAAAAACTCAATTTTTTGCAGGTGACATGATCTACTTTAAAAAATACACAAACAATTTAAAAATGTACCTGAAGAAACAGTTTGATGGTAACAAATGTAGCCTGGAAAAAATAGAAGAAATTGAGCAAATCATTTCGAAAATATTCGAGTCCAAATAAAGATTGCCAGAACTGAATTCATGTAACAAGTATTGCCAATATTTGGAAACCTGAAATTTGAACATAAGAAAAATCATTATTAGTTCATTCGCATCAGAGAAACCCTCTTTACTCTACGAACCAAAAACGCTTGAAAAGCTACAATAAGGTGTAGGGTTTATTCTTATCCTATCTAGTTCTATTAAGAGTTCGGGGACTGTCTATGTTAGCCAAGTGAATATACCCCCTGCCCGTAGGCACAACTTGATGTAAAGTCGGCAAACAAAATTATTTACATCCATATTGGTACACATACTTCTGGAGCGCCTACAGTTTCATAGGCAAAAATTAATACAATCGCTGTTATCAACTATGGTTGAAACTTATATATAACTTATGATACAAACAATGTTCCTGGCAGATATAAACTGTAATATAGTAAACTTTGACCGGTGCCTATTCATGCCTGAAGGTGTACTTATGTGTACGACACTCTGATACAGTGTGATACAAGTGAAATGAATTTTAGTGTTTTCACCTAGAATGTGTTCTATTTGGAATGTGAAGCAAATCTGTAATATAAATTTAGTTGTGTGTGCGGCGCTCCAGAAGTATGTGTACCAATATGAAGGTAACTAGTTTTGTTCGCCTATTTTATATCAAGTTGTGTAAAGGGACTGAAACCTATGGGATATATTCACTTGGCTAACACAGACAGTCCCGTAATAGAACTAAAATAAGGAGAAACGAAATGAAATTATGGCCTAACCCTAACCTGGTACACACACTACGGGACTACTGTGTGTGCATAAACCTCACATAAACATTGTAACCCATACTAAATACACACCCTCCGTTGAAAGCTTCATTCTGAGATGCTATTGAAGAGGTTTCAGTATTGTTTGATGTTATTTTCAGACCACCGTATGCTATTGAAGAGGTTTCAGTATTGTTTGATGTTATTTTCAGACCACCGTATTGGTTAACACTTGATGCCAATTCCACATCGATATCATCAACCTTGTCATTGCTCGACTTTGTTATTAGTGACCCAATTGGTTTAGTTGAACTTACAATTGTGGACCCTGCTTTGCTGATCCTGAAGGTAAAGCGTAAATTTCAGAAAAGTATGGTAGCGATGTAGAAAATGGAATAGCAGGACAAAAAATTTACAAGATGACATGATGAGACAACTAAACGCCTTTTTTATTTAAGAATTTAAATGTCCGCAAAGAAAGCTAGGCAGTAATGTAAGAGATTTCAATTAAAGAAAGATCATAATCACACACTAAGTATGAAAAAGGGCACTCCCGTAGTATCGTATGTGAACCAAGATGGTGGACACCGGAACATAGTATGTGTACCAGGTTAGGCCATATTTTCAGGTACAAACGCTACGAGAGTCACTTGTCTAGTCCCCGAACTCGTAATAAAACTAAAATAAGGGAAATTGGAATTAAATTTTGACCTAACCCTAACCTGGTACACATACTACGTTCCGGTGTCCGCCATCGTGGTTTAAATACTCATGGGTACCTGAAAAAGTACTCATCTCTGAGCAGTTAGCGGTGCCCACAAATTTGGCAGAGAGATACTAAAACTACAAAGTTTCATGAGAAATTTACCAAGCCAACCGAGTATAATAATAAGACTGTTGAATGTTAACATTAGCAAAATTAAAACATTTTAGTAGTGGTGGTATCCCTTCTCTAGACGGATCGAACTCTGTTATCAACAATTGTAGTTGTAAAAAACATACCGTAGTTCTATAGACTTACTTTAGATACGGGTACAAATGAACAGACTCATTCTCTATTGACTAGTATACCAAAAGAAGAAAATAACTGACATTTGTAAGTTTGGAGTTTCTTGAATTGTTTCCAAACCACTAGTGTGAATCATGTTAGATTTCTTCTTCCAGCTCGAATGGAATGACAAAGTTGATGTTAAATCTGTTTTTTGTGTTGTAGATGCTTTCCTTTGTTTCTTTGTTTCTTTTTGAAGCTTTGATTCATCTGAGACATTCACTGAAGTAAACAGACCTTACTATAAAACAAATTTGGCATAAGCATCTAAGTATCAAGAGACTCTACTCACTCTCAGCGACTGCTTTTGGTGTTGACTGAAACAGTCTTTTGTTTGATGGCTTGTCATTGTCACTTGGTACATTATACAGTTTGCTGAAAAAAGTCATAAAATTTAGAATAAAAAGCTATGAAATAGATTATATTTTCTCATTATACCCAGAATTTTTGCAATGAAGACATACCTAAACATTAAATATCAGTATACAAATATACATATTTAGACAATTAAGAATTTAATCGGATAAGTACTTCCTACATACTTTTCTCTAGCAATAGACAAATATCAGCTTAGCCAGACCACTTAGTTACAATTCAAATACATATTTACAAAGTATACAATTTAGGACAAAAATTTTAAGCTATGAGCATGTTACAAATGAAAGCATATTATTATTTCTTTGTGGTTACAGTCTAAATGCTTTTGAACAGCAGACAAAATGCTCACAATCACTCGACTGTATCTACCGTAATTGCATATCTCTTTTAAACAGAAACTGCATTCCAAGAATACCAGACTGTCGACATAACCATATAATCAAATTAACTTAAGCAGGAATACAATTGCCTGATGTTAAACAATGTTAATAAAGAAAAGACATGTACGTTAATATATATTTTCCTTTATAAAGGTTTTGAGAAAAGGCCAAAACATAATGTTTTAAACGAAGCCATATTTTCTCACCTGTTTTTATCGGCAGGCTTACGATGAATACGACTTTTGAATACAAATTCTTCTACATGAATATCAGCAGATTCCTGTATAGGAGATATTCTAGAAATTCTCTTTTTTGATGAAATGTAGGGGACAAAGCCTGAAAGACAAAATAAATATACATTGGCATACTAGCATCCTTATATAAATTTGTGAGAACTGAAAACTGCTAAGACTTGAAAGAGGCATAAATGAATAAATTCATATTTCAAATACATTCTGAAATTCTGGTCCTATAGCAAACTTAAATACAAATATCAGAAATACAAAAATCTTACTCTCAATCAAACTCTTTTCAATTTCATTTATTTTTTGCCCAATTTATGGCCTACTATTCACAGAATTCATTTTCAAATGAATAGTCGAATGGTTCCTAAATTCTAGACTAAATCTTCATGTCACTTAGAATGTTATGTTAAACTATTATTATGTGATTCAGTTTATCTCTCTTGCTTACAAATTTTGATGATTCTTGCTGCAAATATAATCAAGAAACAAAATGCTTACAGGTATATTGATTTGAATGTGATTATAATGTTCTTAGGTTAATTTATTTCATTTTATTATACAAATTTTGATAATTTTTGCTCAGAACAATAATCGACAGATAAAAACTAATAAAGTGAGTGAAAATGAACCTTTTTAAATTTTCCTATTCATAAGCATCTATTTTTAGTCCGAACAATATTTTCGCTGAGCATGTTTTAAAACTGGAAATTTAAAAACCAACTTGAATTTCAAGTATTATTATACTATCAGTAGAGGAAGTAGAATTATTGCAGATTTATCAAACAGGTAATACTATAACTATCAGTAGTGGTGCGCGAGACTAACTCCCAATCCTTTATTAATGCCTTTGTGCTCGTGGATTCATATGCGTATAATGCAAGGATGCTGTAGCAGGAATGGAAATACCATAATATGAAATTCAAGAGTCCTGCTGGCTGCTGCACACTATCACAAATATATTTCAGTAAAGTTTCGTCTGACCAAAATCAGACTTCCTCAGACAAGCAGTTTACAACAATGCCTGTATTAATATACTACCCTATATATTACCCAGATCTTCATATTTCGGCAGCTTGCAAAAGATTCCTCTTTGATCAAATGGTGTCGAGGTTTTCAATGCTGGAGCTTAATTAATCAAGAGTTCATTATTTGGAAAATTGAATAGACAAAATCTAAATGAAAAGCCTTCTATCATTTTACACTCATGTCACAAATGACTACATTTTTACAGCACCCCATTTTTAGAATTTGTGAAGTCTCGCACCCCACATCAAAAACTAGCTTACAATAAGCTACAAATAACAGATAGTAAGGCGAAAGTATGTTTTTAGAACACGTTGAAAATATGTGGATGGAAACTTAATACCCAAAATATAGAAATTTAAATATCCAAAATAAGACAGGCTCGATCAAATCAACAAATATCTTTTTATTTTCATAATTAGCTTTAGCCTTTACGCTCCCTCAAAATATAGTCCCACCCCCCCTTTTGGAGCGCGCCCCACCGTTTGAGAATCACTGGGCTATATGTAACCGGAGTATATAATATTGATCACCGTGGGCATATCAATGCAACAAATCAGAAAAGTATATCAAATGCACATAATTGAATATATAAAAGTGTTTAAATTATGAATCTACATTTTTTGATTGTTGTCACCAAAATATTGTGATTTAGATCTACTCTTAAGTTTATGATAATGGATTCATTTTACCTGCATTACGCGATCTCTCAGAGATGCATGATCATTTGATAACGTTGAATCATGTACAGATTGAGACAATTTTTGTTTCAGTATTACTGCATTTAATAAAACAAAGAAAACAATTAACAACAAGAAATGATGCAACTAATACAGAGAAGAAGGAAGTATTTGATAAGATTTCATCGGTTGTTGCATGAGGAGCTGATAACTGCGAGGATATCAATTCACTTTACATTTATAAAACATATTTGGTTAGTAAAGAAAGTTCGCTTTCTCAGATGCAAAGGATTCAAATTAAAATTCAATCATAGCTACTTTTTACTTTCCTAATAAGAGTGATAAATTTGCCAAGTCCTATGGCGTTAATCAATAAATCAATCAATGTGGCAAACTGAATAAACCATGTCACTACTTTTTTCATTGAAATTTAAAATATATATTAAAACTAAAAGTGTATGGGCATTAACATCATAAATCAGAACACAAAACAAAAACAGGCCTAAAGTATAGTTCATGTCTCTATTATAAATATTAGAAAATTGCTTAGGCTGAATAAGAATACACTCGGGCTATATAAATAATATATGAATACTCGAGACAAATAATGCAAAGAAAAAGATTTAAACGAAACACTTGGTTTGTTTTTACAATGAAGATCCATAAATGAAATACCTTTCCCACTACTCTGCAGGATATATTCAACTTGCAATGTTTTTTTACGCTTCAAAGTTTTTATTTCGAAAGTGAAACTGAATCGCGATGAAATCAAAATGACTCGAGGTCTTGAGTGTGGAGAAACTTGATATTTTTTCAAAGAGTTGAGCTGCAAGTAATTACATGTAATTGAAAATGAAACACTTTTTTAAATTCTAATGTATTTTGTTATAACAAATAGCATCAACTGCAGGACTATGCTTCATTAAGAGTTAAGACCATTAAGTTAAACCCACAATGTGATCATTTTCAGTTTCAGTACAGCCATACTACTGTACTACTTAATAGGATAGAATTCACATATTTATCCCGGAGAGAGGAAAGTATAACCGACTAGAGGATACGTAAACCACCCTATGGCAGCGAGGAGTCCAGCAATCCTCTCACGCATAACCATTCCCACATGGAATTCGAACCTGCCATTCAGCCATTGTACAATGCTTCTGTCAATAGGCCTACCGGTATATGTTCAGATGCAATCTCATTGGTTACTGAATACAGGAATACAGCACAAAGTACCCCAAAAAGCACGAAACAAACGAAATGTCAGAATGTTGCAATAAAGCAATACACATGTGGAAACAGTCGAAAAAGCCAAAAATCACCCAAAACATCTGATATTATACTGTGGCAATATCGGTAGGCCTACCTGAATACATTGATATACTTTTTAATAATATTGTAATCGAAAAAATTAAATGAAATGCCGGCTCATACAGTCATATCCGGGATGGATTGAGTCGGGAGGATTCCGGTAATTCCCCCGACTGCCCAGTGCCCGATACTGCAATATAGGAATTATATATAGGCCTAGTCTATACCGACAAACTGCAGAGGCTAGAGAATATCAACTCACGTCAATGTCAAGTCTTTTTCCGTCGTGATATTTCACAATCAGATCAAAACGAATCGGGCCGCTCTTGGTTTCCGCTTCGCATCTGAAATGAACGTTAGCGTCACTCCAGGGAACTGGCTGCGACACGTGTTTCCGAACAACACGACACTGTACGTTGTAAACCGTTAGAAGAGAAATAGGATGCATTTTCCCTAAACCAGTAATCAAATCAACTGGTTTAATGCATGCAAAAAGACGTAATAAAATCCCAGCTAGTCGCGCCCAGTCCAATATTCTACAGACACGAGAAAAAATTACCAAAATCCGAGTAAAATGGCAAAAAAGGGTACCGGTAGTCACGTGATGGTCAATTACTCAAGCGTATATTTGTAAATATTTATCATTGGTGGGAAAATCCGTCATAATCACGATACGTATATCTCTATCATTTTGTTATGAATCGGATAAAATTACAGTTCAGGAAACAAACGCAAGTGACGGAAACTCAAGATAGTCAACAAAACTTCAAAAGGGGTTCAGAACATGAGACGGTACATTACGCCTTAAGAGTGTAAAATCATTATCATTGAGGCCATACCATATGAAAGAATTTTCACTTTGTGTTAAAGAAAACACCAGCATGCCGTTTGATTACCATATGGGCCTTCTGCTTATAAAATTAATGCCAATCCTACCTACACAGACTACGGCAGCACCGAGTTATTTTATTATGACTTATACGTGGAGCTATACCGGGCCAAAGCTATCTAAGAGCAAGGTATAAATAAATCAGTTAGCACAATAGACAGAAAGTATTAAAATTGAATAGTATTCCTCCTCTGACAATCGGAAATTTGGTTTGCAGATTCACTCCTCTAAACGAGATAAACCAGGATAAACGCCCTCCATTGAGGCATGAACACCCCAGATTCGAATCAAAGTGACTATAACTAAATGGGTTTATAGACACTTTGATTCGAATCAACGCAGGTTTGATGTACTTTTTACGGGGCAATTAGCCTTGTCGTGGGCTATCAAGCGTGACGTTGTTAATTAAGATTTTGGTCCTCTTGATCCTCGCAATGAGCATATATTAGGCCGCGAGCCGAGGCCCTGAAAAACGCCTAGAAAGTGAGTTTCGTAGCGCACATCAGGTAACTACCTGAAAATGATTTTAAAATGTTCCTTAAAAATTTAGTAACAAATATTGCCTTGTTCCCACTTCCAAAAGTTGCACGTTTTACGGAGAAGACGCTTTTACTACAAGAAATATGTGCTACGATCTGTCCTATATTCTCTACATTTTCGGCACTGAACAATGACTTCTGCATGACGTAACAATTGAATTAAACCAGCTGTTAGCGAGCGGATGAATTAGTTATTTCTGCTCGACCTTGCGCTGAGTTGGGCAGGCTTTCCATAGCCCTGTTTAGTTATTATTAGTTAAGTTATGCTAAGACGTTGTTGAAAAATGTATAAGAAATTATTAAACACTTGTAGATCCTTACCACGGATATGGGCCGTATGAGTAGCGCACATCTGGTAACTAAATAAATTCTTCAGTTTTGTGTGAAAACGAACATAATGAACGCATTACAGCTTGTTCCACAATCCTGGTGCAATATAAGAGGTTCCCGGAAATCAATAACCATAAGTTTACAACGCACATAAGAACTATACAATTCGAGAGCCCTACAGCACACTAACACAAATGTATTCCTGTAATGTTTTGCCTGACCAAAATCGGACTTCCTCAGTCAATCATAATTTATTAGGTAGATTACGAAAAATATGGCATACATGTAACCAACAACAAAAAATACTTTAATTGTGTGACAGGAGTCGGGAGTGACCTCGAAAGCAGCGACACCAACAACGCTGATTCACATTTGAGAATAAATTTTATGTAATAACCACAAGCAGTTTACAACAAGAACAGCATAAAAAGCTACATCCATTTTATAGAAGCTATCAAGTATCAAACGTATTTATTTTTAAGCAATGAAGTCACAAATTAACATCGTGAGCACGAAAACACAAATAAATCAGTTATTTCTCACTTAGAAATTTACCGCAAAAGTCAAGAAAATTAAATGAATGTACAATATACATAGTGAACAGAAATATTACAATTTACAATTAATTTTTTTTAGTTTATGTGGTTATGTATTTGAACAAAGGCAATAATATTTCTAGAAACAGGACTACGACACTAACAAATGTCCGAAAAAAAAACAAATGTATGATACTTATTAAATCAACTGTAATATCTAATTCACTTTCTTCTGAATTGTTTTCGAAATCCACTATCTCAAAAATCGACTTTTCCTCTATAGGTGTACTGTGATTTCTGCAGTCAATACAAAAACAAAAATCTGTGCAATTTAAGTTGATTTTGGCACACTTTCATAAATTATTTTGACTATTTTTCTTTGCAGTTTGCCAACTCAAGAACTGATTTGAGGGCCACATGCTTCTTCAGTGAATCATTGTTGGGTGGAGAGTATAATCCTTATGTTTGACAGTGTTAAATAGACGTGCCCTGGTATCATTTACATTCTTCATATCCTCTTCAAATTCCTCAGTTTTATTTATTAATACCTCGTTAACCTCAAAAGATCTTCATAGTCGAGGGAAAAAAATGAATTGAAAGAAGTCTCCAACATGAATTTGATGGGCAGTTCCAATTGCAGAAAAGTGCTAAAGTATTTCAATATGAATAGCTGTTTGCAACTATTATGATTCTCATATACCTTTAAGCTTCAAGACTTCTTGTTTAATCCATTTTATAGCACTGATAGCAGCAGGGATCAGAGCCTGCGTTAGGTCGGATTGGTGGAACATTGCCGTTTTCTTTTGTAGTACAGTATCTAAAATAAGGAAGAAAATAATATTTGGAGCAGCATTTTAAAAATACCCCTAAATACTAACTAATACCTTGAATACATAATGCATTTTATCTGATGTACTAAATGAGCGTATATATGCTCATTGCATGTTCTACAGTCCAGCAGTGTTTGCATACCATTACTAGACTATATCTACACTAAATTTTGATATATCACAGTCTGAAATGTCCTATGACAGTATGAGTATGGACTATAGACTATATTTTGAAACATCAACTGTTTGTCTACAACTTCATTTCTCACCTCTCAATCATTTCCAATGCTACCTTTCTTTCCACTCCGGCATAACTTATCATTGCTTCCCAGGTTCTTGTCGACTCTTGAATTAGATTTAGACCAACCGACATTAGTAAAATTGATTAATTTCTTCTCTTTCACACAACCGTGCATTACAGAAACAGCCATTCATTTCTATTTCCAAATATGCTGTGGCCTATTATAGTAGTATAAGTCTGCTGAATAGTCAGAAGAGTCATTAAATTAATCATAAACATTTCATGCAAGCCAGAAAATATCGTTGTTTGTGACATATTATTCTAGGTCTAGCCTTCCTTGGAGTTACCGCACCGTACCTATTTAAACGTCTTATGAGCTAGTGCTCAACTAAAATTGCTATTTATGGCAAGGATATACAAGTGTTTAATATCTTACCTATACTTTTCAACACCTCCTTAGAATAACTGGACTAATATTACCGGTAACTGAAAACTGTTACGTCGTGCAGAAGTCTGCGTTCATTGGCCCATGATACCGGAAAAGCAGAGAAAATAGGACAGATGGTAACACATATTTATTGTAGTAAAAGCGTCTTTTCTGTAAAACGTGCAACTTTTGGAAGTGGGAACAAGGCAATATTTGTTACTAAATTTCTAAGGAACATTTTAAAATCATTTTCAGGTAGTTACCTGATGTGCGCTACGAAACTGAAAGATAAATGGCCTCGGCTCGCGGCCTATATACAATAGATGGAAACTTCAAAATATTTGCTCAATAATCCAATTGTGCCCTGCAATTTTTACGTCGTCTAGCTAAATGGTTCGTTGCATATGGAGGAAGCGGTTCCATTACATTTGAACCCACGTACATTTGAACCCACGACGATTGCACCGGCATACTATTGCACCTATGGAAATTTTTGTTGTTTTACGGATATTTGAACCCATACTAACCCTAACCCATGGGTTTAGCACCCGCATATAGATTGAACCCGCGAATATACACATGGGTTCAAATGTACGTGGGTTCAAATGTACGGTCACCGGAGGAAGCATATCGCTCGCTGCAAAAATCCTTTGCTTCGGCCGCGCCGGGTGCGAAATTGGCCGTATTAAAGCTTTTAATTTTTCGATTCGTGTTTGGTTTTGGGTTTCGAAGTATGGTACGTTGAATGCATACTAACTATGAGCATATGCTTATTGGGAATGCATATCTATTAGGCAGAAAACGTAGCTATAGCACAGTATATGAAGTCAAGTGCGGTTATTTCTAATTATAGCATGGGATTTAGGTATATATTTATCCAGGGAAAGCAATGGCGATAAGAAGGCCTAAATGTATGGCGAACCACGGCTTCACACAATCATAGTTTATAAAGTGCTACATACGAATCCCCAGGGCTCCCCTATTTTAAATTACTCTGTCAGTCTGGGGTATCTTGACATTTTAAAACGAAGACAAAAATTCGAAGAATAGCAGGGAATCGGATTTCCTCTCCACCTGGGTAAATATGTTAACCCCATCCTATATCAATGAATACAATGCCCCACGTCCCCCTTTTCATGGGTCGCATTCCGTTTGAGAACTTTTTTTTGCGAAACTTCTTCCACAAAAAAGCAGCACCGTCGTTTTACGGTCGCGCATTATGGTTTCGTCAAAACGATATTATTCTGTGTATTATCACTGCAGCGCAATTGACACCGCCAGACTTTTTTATCTTTACGACATGTTATCTTTTTTAGTTGGCGCTATTAATGATAAATAAGAATGCGTGATTGTTATTCAGTAACGCGCATGTAACCGTCGTTTAGGATGTTCAAAATAAAAGAAGGGTTATAAGTTAATTTAAGGACATTCTCTTTTATTTTAATACAAATACAGGGCGCATTAAAAGCAAAATAGAATTCCCTTTGTTTTCCAGACATTTTTAAATTTTGAAACTAATAAACTCAACTTATAACCAACGATGGGACGTCAACTTAAGGTCAAACATTTCAAAGTGCTTGTACGGAAAACTATTTTTAATTTTACGCATTTCAAAACCAGCCAAGTCAGCACCGCAGTTAATACAGGATTTAATGTTAAATATCATTATGAAACGTGTCCTCGAAAATACGAAATTCGACCCCGAGCTGCGCCACAGCTCATCTGTGCGCCAATCTGTGTGTAATGTGCACGTTCGGAAGCACATATTGCCGTGAGTAGCTTTATATAAAATGCATTGCACGAGCCACGAAGAATAAAGTTCGTACTCGCTTGCCAGATCGTCATTTGGACGACATACACTGCGGGGCAACGAAG